AACATTGACATTAAATACTGCCTGTTCTAACATAAAGAACCAAATAAAAAAATCTTAAAAAGAATGTTTTGTTACACATGTTGCAAATAAATCTCAACTGTAAATTATTAATTTTAGTAAAAATTTCAGAAGCATGTAATGTTTAATGTTAAACATCTATGAAACATATCTATAAAATCTACTATATACACCCCGTATATAGTAAGTAGATTTTATAGATATATAACACACTTTTTCTACAACACAACATTTTCTCTCCGAAAGTAGGTACTAGCTAGAAACTAAACACAAAAGTGTTCAATTCCTTAGGTACCAAAATATACCTGATTATTGTTGTATTAGGAAGTTCAAAGCGAGCTAAAGAGATAAATAAGTACACTTGGAGATTTGCTACGTAAATAAGAAGAAAGATTGGAACGGGAATGGCCAATCCAAAACATTAACAAGCTATGGTCGCTGTGACCACTCCCATAACTCATGACCAATAGGTAAGAATAGCACTTTCGAGGTATCTGTCTAAATGGGTGAACAACCTTAGATTTAATGATATCTGTGTGAGTGGCAGCGTATGCGGGTTGCCTGTCTTTTAAACAGCTTATAATAAACGCTTAAAATTTTGTAAGAATAAGCTTAAATTTGGCACAATCTCTCCCAGTATTTTCTATTGCAGTTTGTTTATTTTCTTTGAAATTAATTGCGAAAATATCAACAATGTAGACCGTGTAAAAAATTATAGCTAGAACTGCCTGCGTTCCGCGCATCGCTGTGTCCGCTAAAGTCGTGGAGTTTGGGAATAGGGTTGCCATACAATGACCAATATTGGCTTCTATTACTCAGTTTATGTTTATGTACAATTTTTATATATTTTTCCATTTTTTAATTAAAATCCTTCAAAAAAACTAAATATCTTTGATATTCCGGTTCAAACCCTATTGAAAAATATCAAACAAAATCAGCTTTTTTCGCTTTAATTTAATCAGAAATCAGCTACTCACATCCTATCGTATTAAAAATACCAAGTCGAAAGTAATTTATGTTCGTTATTAGTAAAGTAAAACGGACAATAATTAAAACAGAAATTATACAATCTCTACGTAAAACAATTGGAAACTTTAAAAACACTATGATTCTGAACTCTCTCACCTCATCTGTTCGTAAAAATTCAACAATATTTTTTTTTTTATAATACCAATAAGAAAAGTTGTTTGACATACTTAGTATATTTTATTGGGACAATCCAATCAAATACCGGTCTCACCGCACTTCACCAGTCACCTGGCAACCCTACAGAGGGCCACTGTGGCTGGTAATTGGCCCTGGCGCCCGTCTGCTCATCGTTTTATCCCTTTTTTGGCTTCAATCGTTTTGTTTTGTTCATCGCTTGTTGGTTTTGGGAATTAGCATGTCTTATTAGCATAACTGTCTGATAAGACGTGATTGCTGTTTTAACAGCTTTCTGCGGGGTAGGTTGAGATGAAATAGATGACCTCATTTTTGTTTTATAATAGGATACAACAATATACATATACAAGTGTGTAAGTACGTACCTAAAATTAAATATCTAATTACGTATATTCGTAGTGATTCTCTACTGGAATATTCGCACAGAATTGGACTCCTTTTGGACTCTATTTTAAACGTTTTTATAGACTAGAGTAATCCTGAATAGGATTTAATAAAATGGAAATTTTTAAATTAAAATATTATTTATGCAAGTGCATTGATTTAAGATTCATCTCGAACTGGCGTCCTCTCGGGAGTTCTTATCGGTACCCTACCCAATGGAGATACGAATAAATCACTCGAATATTCATCGAATACAATGCTCGACTCCGCAAACGGACGATGTTCCGGATAAAATATGCGTCTGCGATCCGGTCACCGAATTGGTAATATTGTTAACAGGGAGTAAAATCACTACACAGGAAACCAAAACGAGAATTATGCATCATCTCGAGAATTTCTCAATAAGATGTGTTGTGTGGGGTCGACGCGGGCGCCGCCCCGCGGCGAACCGGTGGCGCCTCTATCGATTATACTGCCCTCTCTATCCTCTATAGAGGCGCGTCCTTGTCGCTCGCGCGCGGGTGGTTGCCGCCGCGCATCATTGCTGGCCGCGCGGCCACCTCGCGGCCTGCGCAGGCGCACACCGACACCGCGATCCCTTTCCTATAAGGATTTTTGTTTAAATACAGACCTCGCAGGCTATATCATTTATCTATTACGAGCGTCGTAAGGTGGGCTCGTGTATGTGAGGTAATTCTCGTTTTTTCATCGTCTCGAATAGAATTTGTTGTCGGACCGCGGTGAAAGGTAACGATGGTATGAGAACGATATTCGGTTTTATGGCGGTTAATTAGCGTTGATCTTTCGCTCTGTCGGCGTCTCGTCGCTATGGCCTAACCATATACGTCACCATCTCGCCTTTATTGGCCAGTATCCGCAGACAGGATCGTAGATACCTCAACTAGATGTCATGCTGCGTCCTCAATCAGTCCGTAAAAAAGCCACAGATACAACAAAGCGATTCGATGTACGATCGCGGATAATTTCGCGTTATTTTGTTGCGTCGTGTCCATATTTAGAATATCTGAATTGGGGTCCGATTTTATGGGAGTTTCGTTCCGCCCTCCGGCGTCGTCGAGGCGTGCCGGCCGCGCGGGCGCCGCGCCTGGCTCATTCATATTTTGTACAATTACTGGCCTCTAATTACAGCTCTCCAGCGGACCTCGTCCTGTCTCGATCTGCCTGATTAAGTCTTCGACGTGTTATTGCATCTCGGGTAATTGCACGTTCCATTCAACGTAGAACAAGTAATATTTGTCAACTATTCGCGTTGGAACGCTTTCGACAATGGGTGGCTGCGAACTAGGTGGTTTCAGAGAAAATTACGGAATTTATGGCGAGCCTGTGGTTTCACTGGTCTAGCTTGCGCTGTAAGTGGGTATTACGGCGGGAGTGCGGCGGACAATCTCCCATAAATACTGCTTACCGAGTTGTAAATTAAATTCTGATGTCGTAGCATTAAGTTAGAACGTCTCTGAGACGAAGGGGAGTGGAGCGGGCCCTATTTTTCATTTTCTTGTGATGGAATGTCTTAGCGAACGGAACGGTGAACAACGGTAATTAAATTTTAATGTAATGTAAATAATATTCAATTTATATGATGATTTTATGCGATTGCCTATATTTGATCTATACCTGTCGGTATAGAATATCTAATCTACTGTACCTCAATTATTCGTCAAGTATTACAATCATCGTGAAGTAACAAAACAGATAAATGATCACCTACATCCTAATATCAGTTAAACCTTAAAATAATTATTATAAAAAAGCAACAATATATTGAATGTTACCTTTATCAATAAATATATACTTATATATTGCCTATACTTAATATAGTGCTGAATTTCATCCCAAAATATAGAATTGGATTTATATTATACCTCATAATAAGTATCTTCGATAACTGGATTTGACTGCATGGATGTAAAAGGACAGCTGTATTCTTATAGATTTATATCGATCATTGATGATTTACATGTATTATAATATCATACAACCCACTTCCCAGCTGCGCAGATTAGTTTGTTAGCAATAGATACTCACGATGGTAGCATTTATATTACAAAATATGATAAATAGGTATATTTTATATTTAACAATAAAGTAATTATATTGAAAGTGTGTTTATGAAGACCACCATTTTAAAATTTATAATGCCTCTGGCCCATGTATACAGTAAGTAATAAAATATATTTGGAAGGCATATTCTTCTGTGAAACTGAAAATATTTAAAGTTTATATAAAAATCAAATTAGTAATCGGCTATAAGCACTAGGAACGATGATGGATGGACTATGGAACTAAATTTCTTTACTTGCAACACTAAAATATGTTGTTTTCAATGTTACACGGGCCTACTAATAAATAAGGCTTAAGCCATGAAAATTTAAAAAGCCTTATTTTATAAACTTCTCAGTATTTTTTGACCCATAATTTTATAATATATCTATGCAAGTCTCTGAAAAAAATTTTACTATAATCCTCTCATACACGAAAATTAATTTATCGCTTAAAAAAAGTATATTTCCAAATGCCGTAGGTTCTCCGTTTCTGACGGCCAGCCATAAAGCACGTGAACACTCAAACAAAACTTAATGACAGCAATACTAAAACGTTACATACAATAAATCAAAAAGGTTGCAAGTCTCTGCGAACGTTGAAACTTGGTACCAAAGCGGCCGAGCATTATTAAAGTAATTTAGCACTCTCTGAGTCTGGCTGCTCTGTCGACTCTGTTTGTTTTACAGGCGAGAACTTTGCTCAACCTATTATTATGGTCTCGTTATACTTTTTGCTGGCCAGGAGTGGCCAACACTCGGTTTACCGGCTACATTTTGTTTGAAATGTATACCTTTTGTTGCAAACTACTTCAATGTTACTGTAGAAATAATATTTATATATATGTGGTGTTCTATATATAACTATGTATGTATTCATTATTGCTTATTGTATGTATATGCATAGATAATTTTAAGTACTAATAATTGTATTTTCTTTCTGGCATTTCGAGTTTGATATTTTTCCTGTTTTTTTTAAGAATGTGCTTTTTTTAAGCTTCTTTTATTTTTACGACCAGAGTAATATTTATCACAATTTTTAATTATACTGAACCAAATGTTGACATACAATGTAGCCAACATTAACTCATACCATGCCGGAGGCGTGATCGCAGAGCCCGTAAAAACGTGTTATTATTATTAATAATCTCACTCATTCAACTAACTTAGATATTCAGTATCAATATTATTTTTTCATTAGTATACAATATAATAATAGTAATAAAAGTCATACATTTATTAAAGAAAAATATACAAATCCATATTCGAAAGAATTCCATTATTACAAACTCAATATCAATGAATGTTTCAGCCAATATCAGGCGTAACATGCCAATATTCTTATACTAAAGTACGTTTTTCTCTCCTTCGTAGGAGCTCATCTATAGCCAAAGTCAACGGATGTTGTCAAAGTTGCTGTGGCCCAACCCAGCCCCTAGTGCACCCAGAGATCCCCACTCTGATCATTTGGTTAGTAGACTTTTATTTTTTTTAATTACATAATCTACAATTTTCTATGCATAAAATGCAGAGGAACTCAAATCGTACAGCTCAAATCGACAACAATCAAATAAAGATAGTTAAGTAATTCAACTTAACAGTATGAATTATGAACAACAAACAAGGAAATTAAAAATAATAGAAATGGTATAACCGTCAAAACACGTCTTTCCGACTACGCCCCTAACTAGCCTCGAGTCAAGAATTGTTCGTACAACTTTTTCAATGACCAAAAAAATTGATGGTCGAAATCATAGCGGCAGATGTTAATGATTCTATTATTTATGATCGAGCCTCGTCTATTATACCTTTTTTTACATTACTGCCTACCTACTGCATACGTCCGTAAACGAAAGGTTACTGAGCCGTGTAATTTTCTGTGGACGGTAACAATGTGGGTACAAACACTGTTACTATCGTTGATTTACCAAAAAAAAAACAAAATTTGGAGCATATAAATTTAGTACAAAAAATAATTTCATCAATCTTTGCATGTTCAAGTATTTTAAAAAATTCAAGGAATGGATTATAAATGCAGAATTGATGATGAGATTGATTATTACAATACTAGCAGCCCGCCCTGGTGTCGCACGGATATTGCAATAAATTCACAGAAAACCATAATGAATTAGGTATATCTACACATAGCCTTCTTCAGAAATCACTCGTAGATAGTTGTTTGAAAATAAGAAAACTCCGTTGATTAGTTTTTGAAATTATCGCGAACATACGATCAGACGCGGCGCGTCACATTATTTTATAACATGAATAGATATGATTTGATATGAAAAATTAATACAAGTTCTGTACTTACTAACATAAATTAATACAAAATTGAAGATATATTATAATTGGGGTTGAATTTTATTATTATATTTCAATTTATTGATTATATTTTTGATTGTATCATACACATATTAATGATGTAAAAATAAATTCAAAATCCAATTAACCTGACTCAAGTTGTTGGCAATACAAAAATTAAAAAGTTTCTAAGGCGTTGTGTTGCACTAATTAAATTCGGGAGTGTTAATATTTTAATTGGGTAATAATTAATATTTCTTAATGCATACGAAATGTGCTGACCTAATTTCTATCAGGTTATTATTTGAAGTTAATTTAAAATTGAATATTACAACGATATCTTTTTTATTAACTTATAAATTAATCGTTATACTTGTGCTTATTAACTTTCTAAGTAGGAAAAAAAATATTTTGCCTATTTTTGGTGTTAACAATCTAATAATGGGAAAGTTTAACATTTTTAATGTAGGTGCTTATTTGAAAGTAGTGAATATGCTAGAAAAACAGGAATTAACCAACTATAAAAATATACTGGTTTTTATAATATATCGTAAAAAAAAATTTACGTTTACGTAATTTATTATTTGAAATAGAAGATGAAAATTGTGTACCAATTCTATTGATAAATATTTACTTAAATTATTTTTTACTAAGTCTGGGAAGGTAGATAGTAGTCTGAGATAGTACCTCTGTATCAGTAAGTAAGCTTACTTACAAGCAGCTTGGCTAAAATAGGTAATAAGGATGTAGGGTGAAATAAGTAATATACTGAAATTATGTAATATAGAAGCATGACACCATACACCTGCGTAAAGACAACGCATGAGTGATATAATGGGCTTCACATGATAAGGTGATGTCCGTGAAGCTGTCCATGTATATAGGCGATGGTTACCACTTACTAGTCTTGGATAAAAAGGAGGAATAAATGGAAAATATAAGTTCGTAACTCCAGCTTTCCACTGGTATAGGTACCCCAATTACTACACCGTATTTATTACCTACATCCAAATACAGTAAACGACGCATAGACAACTACTAATATACCTACCTAATAGAGTAAACATAGTTTACTACAATTACTGGATACTTATCGACTCAAAAATATGAGGTTAACGATTCCCACCTTACAATCCAACCTTATTAAATCTCAATTTCAAATCGGTCAAGGAACTAAACCTGAACTGCCTTAGGCGCCAGCCATCAACGAAGGTGTCTGTTCCCTAATTATATGGATGAAAAACACCTCACAAACTCAAATATTTGTTAACTGACACTATCAAACGAATTGACACCTAATTGTATTACAAATAGGATCATTTTTCTAACGCGCCCCCGACAAGCTCGTTATAGATGATGTATTAGAAATGGACTTTTGGAGAATTGGCGTAAAAAAGAACTTAATTGCAATATGATTAGGGGTTTGTTCTTGACAAAACTAACAGGCGTTTGTTGTTTAATTAAGGTAATAAATAGTTATACTGTCGTTGGCAGCTGACGCTGGATGGACGGATGGTGTGTCTGTTTGTTTTAGCTCATCGTATTTTGACATATGTGCCGGATAGATACAATTAATAAGAGACAGCTTGTTTTTGAGATGGATGCGTATTAATATAATCACATTAACAACTGTTTCTTTATTTGTTTATTGCATATATCTAGAGTAGTCATAATCCAATAATGTCACTTGAAGTCCTGTTTGTTTTGAGCTGTGTAGCATCTTCTATATGAGAACTTACTAAATACTACCCCCAACTAAGCAAAAAGTCTTAGATAGATGGACATCTATCCTTGGAATATGATATATATTCATGCCAAACAATGATTCATTCAACTGTGTACTCGTGAGAAGTAACAAGCAGTTAGACTTTTTAGTATACATAATATTAGTACGGATTTCCTGGATAGTTTCTGTCTTGACCACTTTTGACTTGACCATTCGTTATTTTTATGTTTTAGTATTATTTAAGATATTTTATACGCCTTCATTTCTATGTCTAGATAATGCAATAGAACATTTTATATACTTTTTAATTTAATTTATTTTCATAAACTAAGAAAATCGACCTCTATCAACATTTAAAACTTATCTTATTAACCTGCGCAAAAAATGTATCCACGCGACATTTCGTATAATAATCCATCAGTTGCAAGTGTCGATCCCAAGTGATAAAACATTAATTCTTGTAATTTCAATTTACTTTATAAATATTATAATAATTTATTATCTATTAACTGCGTTTTTACCCCGCAGAATAGCTAGTTTAACCCCTCGGGGGTAATTACCCATAGGTTCCGAAGCAGGCACTAAAAAACTAACTATAGACTACATAACAACTACTTATACCTTTGAACGTAAGCTCATCAATCACTCAGTCAATCAATTACTCGTTCCCCTCCCCAACTCATATCGAAGATAACCCATGGGATTTGCTCACTGTCACCCCACGCGTTATTTTCCTTTTTTTATTCACTTTAATTTCAGGGAATGTTTACAAATATTGAGGTTTGATTATTTAAAAGCCTTTTTGTCTGTATTTTGAAAACCATTGCTAAAAATATTAAATATTATAAAGTACTTATTTAAGAAATACATAAAGTTCTGTATTAACTGAGTTCTTATTATTGTTACGTAATTATTTGAATGTCTTCTTCATCCTTGTTGACCACCTAAAATGCTTCTATAATAGACTAACTAGAAAATAAGTAGTATTTATAAGTACACTATGTCTGTTGTGAAATTAAAACACATTATGACGTGTCTTTTACCATAGATGGTTTTAAACTTGTGCATTACTAATATAGTTTTTCGGATATTAATACGAACAAGTCTACCACTGATTACGGCTAGTACAATCTTAGTCGACACATCGAGGGTGGTAATAAATATTTTACTGGTGGTATTAAATTATTTATGTTAAACCCTACATTAATAATTGGTTCTTTTGCAATCAATTGGGTTTACTTCGATGTTAATCCCATAAACAAATTGTCAAGTTAGTAGTCGTTTTTTAATGGAATAAAATATGTTTATTGACTTTATAATCATGATAGCGAACTTCTGTAATATGATAATAATTACGTGGTGGCGCCCGCGCAAGGTATAGCGCATAGTTACGCGTCAGCGCCGGCAGGTGGCGTTGATCCATTGATCATATAATTTTATGGAGGTAAAGTTGTTTTTATAACCGGTATAAATAATGTGTTTCACTTATAAACTTTTTTTTATTTTGAGCCAGTTTGCTTTTGTTTTATCTGTGGTAGGTATTAGTTTAGGTGGTTAATTACGATAATTAACAAGTTTAGATTCTAATAAGAAGAGTAGTTACCACCTTGGTTAGTCTTATTACCTATGCAATTCGTGTTTTTTTTTTATTTCTTGTTTACATACAGCTATGTTTATGTGTAAACTAAGAATTTTAAGTCTACAATAGGTCTACATGGCTGATCTGATTTATGATCAGGGAGAGAAGTCCAAGAAGGTATCAAAATAATATTTTGCCATTTCGATACTTATTTAAATAAAATCTCTCTTATCTCTCCATTAATCATGCAAATACCAACATTCAAACAACTAGTAAATTATAAGGAGATAGCATTATATCTGCGCACATTTCCTCCTCATATTTCTAGCATTAATCTCACTTTAAATGTGGAACAAGAATGCATTTTTAGAACGATAGTGGCGCCACCAACTGCAATTATAAATCACATCAAAACTATTAAAATCCATTACAGTAGACCTCTCTCAGAATGTTAAATCGTTTGAATGAAAGCTTAGAATATAGTGGTTAGAATAAAGCTCCGTCGATTTTATACTTGAGCTATGACGTTAAAAAGCGGCCTGGATAAAAGGTTTTTATAGTTTTATACCTTCATTCAACTGTTTTAGTATTTATAATGCGGCTTGTTTACGTATATATGCGTCGCTCTGTTAATGAAGTTGATAAGTGTGCTCCTTTATTTAAGAGCTTTATACTTTAAGTCGATGCTTTTAAGGGCGCTGGTAATCCTTTGTGTCATTGGAAGTACACATTAGTATTTAGATAAAATTACCGATTACTATCTGTATATATGTATCTTGTTGCCCTTTACCTTTTATTGCATTGCTCTGTGTGTATTTAATAGGACATAATTATGGTTATGAATTAAGTATGTATGAAAAG